AACTCTGAACAGCATAAGAACTACAGCCCTACGTGTTTTGTTCAATTACTGAATTTCCTCAGGGGCAACAAATTATCAATAACTCTCCTTGTGCTGAGATGACAATCAGTAATGACATGCCTTACTGGGCATGCCTGAGCTTCACTCAGCTCTACACACGCCCACAATGCCTGCCCAAGCCTCCTCGGAGTCCTCAGCATTCAGACACTAGGACTTAAGAAATCACACACAGACATTTCCTCCGCAAATTAGATGTCATAAAGTGCCATATGTTTATTATAAATACATCTAAAGAAACAGACAAACTCATAAATACCTATAGAGTTTTGTGTTATCTCTCTCTCTCTCTCTATCTATCTATCTATATATGTTTGTCTATCTGTCTCTCTCTCTTGGGAGGTTGATTAAAACGGACTGGCAGGGAAGGGGATAACACTGCATAGTGAGGTTGGCTGACAGGGACTGGCAGGGGAGGGGATAACACTGCGTACTAAGCTTGGCTGACAGGGACTGGCAGGGGAGGGGTTAACACTTTGTAAAGAGGTTGGCTGACAGGAAAGGGGTTAACACTGGGTAGGGAGGTTAACTGGTAGTTAAGGGGTTAACACTCGGTAGGGAGGCTGGCAGGGAAGGGGTTAACACTGGGTAGTGAGGTTGGCTGACAGTGTGGGGTTAATACTGGGTAGGGAGGTTGGCTGGCAGGGAAGGGGTTAACACAGGGTAGTGAGGTTGGCTGACAGGGAGGGGTTAAAACTAGGTAGGGAGGTTGGCTGGCAGGGAAGGGGTTAACACTGGGTAGTGAGGTTGGCTGACAGTGTGGGGTTAATACTGGGTAGGGAGATTGGCTGGCAGGGAAGGGGTTAACACAGGGTAGTGAGGTTGGCTGACAGGGAGAGGTTAACACTAGGTAAGGAGGCTAACTGACAGGGAAGGGGTTAACTGTGGGGAGGGAGGCTTGCCGACTGGGACTGGAGGAGAGTTTATGCCTTGCATAACAGGGAGAGGAGCACAGCTGCAGTGTAGTCTGTCCTGTGAGCATTCCTTACACTACAGAAGACATGGCTCTATTTTCATTGGCTGCAAAAGGTACGTTTCTTTCAGAGACTGGGAATCAGGAAATGTTGGAATGTGAGAGGGGGTGGCTAAGGAGGCTGGGTTACACTGCTGAAATCAGCAAAACATTTTACAGCAATGCAGGAAAACTACACAAAATTGAAAGAAGAGAAACTAACCAGAGGTATTTTAAGATTATTGGCTTTAATTTAAGCTTAACTTGCTTAGCTGCCTGGAGTGTACCTGCAACATGTAAATGAAAATGAAACCATTTTTTTTCATGCAGGCTGTGTGTGTCACAGCCAAGGGGAACTGTGGCTAGGGATGCATAAACAGAAACAAAAATGATTTAACTCCTAAATTACATATACCTGAGCAGTGAAACTTGATACACGATCTATACACAAAAACTGCTTCATTAAGCTAAAGTTTTTTTGGTGACTATAGTGCCCTGAGGGGGGGGGACAGGGCCAGCACCTCACTGATCAAAAGGTCCGGCCAGTAGCTGACAGGCAGGATAGCAGGGCCACCCGAGCAGGCCGTGGTCGACGGAATCTTTGCCAAGAGGGGGTAAAGCACAAGTTTTGGCTCAGTGTCAGGGCCAGCACCTCTTGCTGATGTGGGCTGTCACTCCTCAGCGCCCAATGCCAATCTGGACAACTTAAATGGGTCAAAAGGCTGGTAAATTGAGGGAGCTGGTCTTCCATGTGGCCTGCCAGGATGGCGGCTCAACCCCGCCCCCAATATCTTACTTTTATTTTAGTCTGCTGGTGCTGGATCTGCCCCTGATCTGCCCTCTTGGCTGACATCATCAGAAGTGAATAGGAAAGCTTTGGCAATTCTGATGATCTCAGCCAATGAGGTGGATGAGGGGTGGAACCAAACGCCACCCTGGCCAATCAGCATCTCCTCAAAGAGATGCACTGAATCAACGCATCTCTGTAAGGAAGGTTCAGTGTCTTCATGCCTTAAGCTGTAGTTGTTCTGGTGAATATAGTGTCACTTTAAATATAGACCCACTCTGTTAGAAATTTCATTTAACTTGCTTTTATACAGAAAACATTTTGACATAATATAATGCCAGAGTGATGGCTTCCTCCTGCATTGAGAGAAAGAGATTGTATGCACATGTTTGTGTTAGTGGTGGGTTTTGAAAAGCAAGCCCACCTGCTTATATATACAAGGCATATGGGTCACTGAATATGTCTTTACTAGTAGACCCTTACCATTGCAAGATTTGTGTTTATGTGTGTGTGTGTATAATAGATGGAGGGAGAGTGTGTGTGTGTGTGTATAAAGTGGGTGCAGTGTGTGTATTTAATGCACATTAGATTCGATGGTGCAATAGATTTGAGTAAATGCGATCTCAAGTGTTACCTATGGGGATCTTATTTGACGCTGGACTCTGTAAGGATGTCCAGCGTCATTTCAGTGCGATTTACTCACTAAGAATCGTGGAAGCGGCCTCTAGTGGCTGTCAGGAAAACAGCCACTAGAGGCTGGATTAACCCTCAGTGCAACATAGCAGTTTCGCTGAAACTGCTATGTTTTCAGCTGCAGGGTTAAAACTAGGTTGACCTGGCACTCAGACCACTTCATTGAGCTGAAGTGGTCTGGGTGCCTATAGTGGTCCTTTAAGTATCAATCTAATATTTGAAATGACAGAAATAGACTAGTAACCATTAATACATTAGAATCGCTGCTGTGAGTATGCCAGTACTTGCACCAGGATTTCTAAATGACTAGTCTTGAATAGAAATTATAAGCCCTGATAATGTATTTATTTTTTCATGTGATTACTTATCATTAACTGGGTTATTTACTAATGTGAGAAATCAAAGTGAATTTCAAATTTACAGGAATACTATAGGGTGAGGATTACAAAGGTATAGTCCTGTATCGGTAGTGTTAAAAACACTATTTAGGTGGCTACCCAGACCCTTTATCCCCATTAAATAAATAGAAAACTCACCTTTATCCCAGTACCGTGTAGTCCGCTGGTGCTGGCTCCAACCCCGATCAGCCCCCTTGGCTGAGATCATTAAAAATCTCAGCCAATCCATTGAATCAAAGCATTGAATCAATGCATCTCTATAAAGAAAGTTCAGCGTCTCCATGCAGCGCACTGACCTAGGCAGCACCTCTAGTGGCCATCTGAGTGACTGCCCATGGAGTTATCCCTAGTCTGTAATGTAAACATCGCCTTTTCTCTGAAAAGACCGTATTTACAGCAAAATGCCTGCAGGGACTGACTATTTTCACCAGAACAAATACATTAAGCTCTAGTGGTTCTGGTGACTATAGTGTCCCTGTAAGGCCAGAGGAGCCAAACTGAAGGCATAGCTGACTTAAAGAATTTTTCCAGTTGGCTATTTTGGCCTTTTTTTGAAATTATTGTGAATTCACATTTTAGTCAATACCTTTGTTTTATTTTTTTGTTACTGTGTTAATATAATGCAACTTTCTTGAAATGATTAGTGGTTAAAAAAGAGGAAATGATAGAAGAAGGAAGAGGAACAAGCTGATTTGGCAACATGTACAAGTTTGCAAAAATGAAATGAAATGAATGGTGTTTAGACACTGTAGTGATATTTCTTGATTGTCTTTCTCTGATAACACACCCAACAATACAGACACTAGATATAGTATAGATATAATATGACAGAAATAGTGAAACAAGTATAAAATTGAAAACTAATAAATAAAGTTTTTAACAATCAAGTGAATTGTTGGTATTTTTAGCAGGAGGGGGAAAAGTGCACGATTCTCAGTATTTCTCAAGATCATTAACTTTTAAAGTATGTGGCATATCAAATGCCTTCACTTAGCACTTAACATAGAAAACTGAGACATCTTTTTAACATTTTACATTTTAGGAATGATGACACAACATTACATTTAAAAAAAAGAAGTGTTAGTGAGTTCCAAGAAATAAAATTAAATGTAAATATCTCCTAAAATGGAATGCTTGCATCTTTGCTTACTGCCAGTCATTGTTGTAAGCCCTGTCCTTTTTGTTATTGAACATAGTAAGTGGGGGTGGAGTAACAGAAACAATTTGTCTAATACATAATGTGCCTTGCCTGTGCCTGGTCTCAACTGGATTGTGACATCAACTGCTAAATCTTAAATACACATTTAAAGAAATTGAAGCGTTCCATGAAAAAAAAAACAATTAATACAAGCTATTGTTGGTTATCAATATTTGAATTATTCGTGTCATTTTACATCTTAAATGTGCTACAAAATATTTTTACGCTATATAAATGCTGATAATAACCATTCATTTACATCGGACATGCATAGAGATTATGGAAAGGTACAGGAAGTAGAACAGAGGGCATAGGAGAAGGATACTGCTCTGATAGCATGGCAGTTACAGTTCTTCGTGTAAATTAGACAAGAAAGGTGAAGCATACGCCTGCTTTCAAAGTTTGTCAATTGAGCTGTTTCAACATATCGCAATGATGAGTATTGTAACTATACTAGAGAACAAAGTGATAGAATACATTGTTCAAAGAGTTTAGTGTGATCTGTTTGCACTATAGGTGAGTATGCTAATGCTATATTCCTTTTGTTTATTAATGGCAGTAACATTTGCTGCACAATCTGTTTTCATATAAGATGTAGGCAGGTTTTAGTACTGTACAAATCCGCAAACTTGGTACGCAGTTTGGAGGATAGTCTATCGAAATGAGAGGTTAGGATCCAACCGTATGCATGATATTTATGGGAACTGACTGTGGCCAACTGACTGCACATACAAAGTGAATTAAGAGAAGATAAATTAGTATGAATTAAGTGAATATATAATAGTCTCAAGATTGAGGGTGAGAGAAATTGGTAGGTTGGAGAAGTGTTTTTGTGTAATATTTAAAGATGCACTGCTGCAAAGCACCGATATTGTGCAATATAGTTATCTCTTTTTTTTTTTTTTTTTTGAAGCAAATCTGCTATGTATTCTATGGTATAACTTTGGTGTAGCGTTGGTACTGAATGGCAAGAGACCACACAGAAGACCAGAAGACCAATTTTAATTGTACAATGTGTTAGCAGAGGAGCTGCAATTTAATTCGGAAAGTATGTAAGTCACAGATATTTTTTTTTACCATTTATGTGTGTATTATTAAAAAGTGAAGAAAAAAACCCAGATATGTGTATTTATACATGCTACTTTCTTACTAACGCAAATAAAGATGACAGCTTGTTTGTATGTTCTGTCTGTGTTATTACTTATACTAGTCACTATGCCAACCAAATACAGTCGTGTACAGGGACACAAACACAAAAAAATAAACAAATTGATGTAATGATAGAATAGCTCAACGGGTTAAAAGTAATCTCTGATAATATAAATGAATATGTATTGCACAGCTTATTGTGTATATTTCGTACTCTGTGCACTGTGATGTTTCATTTCCTCTTTGTGCTATGTTGTCTCCAATGCTGTAACTTCACCCACTTAAAGGGTAACTTCACCCACTTAAAGGGGCACTGAACCTTCCATATGCAAAAATAAACAAAAAACACTATTTAGTAGATATACCCCCAATTAAACCATGTGTGCATTTAAAAATGCATTTTTTCCACTGGGGGTATATCTAAAAACAGCTTTCAAATGTGGCAGATCTCTTGTCTGCAGTCTTTGCAAGCCAAACCTTTCTAACCCCGCCCAGACTTTCTCTGGTTGTCTAATCACAAACTTCCCAAAGCAACTCAATGAGAAGTATTTGCAAGGCAGGAACTCTGGGCAATTCCCTGCCTCATGAGATTAACTAATTTGAGCTAAGCAAACCAGGAATAACAGGAACATTTGTCTGACTAACAGCCTTGGAAGTGTAACCATGTTATTATATAAAAGTTGTAAAATTTAAATAATAGGGCACACTCTTCACATATAGCTCTAAAGTGCTTTAAGGGCCTGGAGCTTCCCTTTAATGTGTGACACCACATCAAAAGCCTGAAGAACTTCACTGCAGAGTACCTCTCATAACTTGTTTCTGCCCCTTGTGTTCCCCTGAATGAATAGTGCATTAAGGGTTTAGAGAAATATACAGTGTGAGCTTGTATTCTTTCTTTATTAAAAAAATATATGGGGTGAGTATAGACGGCTGCCCTCAGCATCCATTTAATTCAGCAAGTTGTTTCCATTTTATCTAAAGAAAAAATGCAAGATACTTTGCACATGCTGCTTGCACCTATCCAACAGACTAAGACTGTGCAGAGGTAATTGAAAAGGGCAGTGTTTCAATGGAAACCTGGGAGCATACAGATTGGCTAAACCTTCTCAGTCAAATCGGTCATTCAGAAGTGCCTATCTTTTGTTCTAGAAGTCATGTAAATGCATAGTTTTTTATGCTTTATTGTTAAATTGGTAAAATCACCCTTTCGTGCACCAATTACAGAACCTGTTCAACCCCCATTGATGTCAGGATCAAGGTTTACTGGGTTTACTGATGTCAGGATCAGTCCTATGTCCAAGTGCAGTATAGTGAGTACAATTGAGTTGGGAGAAGCATGGGCGGAGCCTGACCCAGTGCCGAGGGACATCAGGTAAGTGATTGAAGGGGTTTTAACCCCTTCACTGCCACGGGAGTGGGGGTACAAGGGAGGGGTTTGTTTTCCTGGCACTATAGAATCCCTTTAAATTTAGTTGCATAAATTGTTATCACTAAGTCACCTAAAATTTCTCAGAACAGAACAGCGCTGCCACACCCCTAAAATAATATTGTCCCTCTTTATCTATTTGAATTTTGGAAGGTAAGCATACTAATTAGACAAACATAGGCTGGCTCAGAATATTCAGAGTTAGATGGGAAAAAAATCACAGGATATTCAATGACATCATTAAGTCAAATATTGTTTGAGTGAAAGAATATCAAATTCTGATCCTCCCACTCTGTTGTATTAATTAACTCTTTTTTGCCTAACTTTACTTCCTGACTACAAACATTACAGTAATGCAGACATTAACTGCACATCCCAGTTCTAAGAGATGCACTTTGATCAAGTGGAGACAAGACGTGGAATGCATAGTGACAACATGCCTGGGGAATGAGCTGGTGTACCTTGGGCAACATAACCAGCATTCCTCTCCAAGGAACCTGCAGCTTTCTCCTGCCATATTGTGTAATTAACCCTTTCCCTCAGACAAAGGCTAGACACAAGCTGCATATAAAATGGTAAAGGATTGTAAAGCAACAAAAAAGTTTACACAAAAAATAAAATATCATTGTCTCTCAAAAGCAGTAATTACTTTGCAGTGTTTTCTCTCCCCAGTTTTGTTTGTGTTTACCATTATAGAGGGCGTATGCGGTCACATTAGACGGAACAAACAAAACAAGCAAATGGATTTCAATTAAAGTTAATGAAGTCAAGAAGGCAAAAGTTTTATCAGGATATAATTAAACATTCTGGAATAACTGGAAGATATTGTTAATGACTATTAAATGGAAAAATCGAAACTTTATGGAATAGATTATATGGCGGGGTTATCTGGTGCCCCACCCACCCCAAATTGTAAAATGTATTGAGTATTGCAAATTGTAAAATGTATTGAGTGTTTGCCTCCTAACCCCTCTTACTCTGTTGTATTTCTCTCCAAACCCCCTTATCTCATATCCCAATTTACCTTTTTATGGCTTTTAATCCCCTCTAATCTCTCATGTCTCTTAGCCCTCATTTTACTCCTTGTGTTTCTTACCCCATTCTTAGCCTTTATGCCCTTTTTAAACCACGTAACACCTTGTGTGCCTCTTAACCCCCCTTTCTAACCCTTTTGTGCCTTATATTTTAGTAATATGTTTTGGCACTATTGTATGTTGTGCTCTCTTACACTGTTTATATTTCATATCTTTATATTGTTATTTTATTTATGCTACATTAATAGTTTCTTTTAATGTTACAATATATATGTTTTGATTGTGGAAACAGTAGTACTGGTTAATTGTATCTATTTATGTGCACAATCTGAGATTTTATACCTTTAAGAAATCTACTAGACTTCAGCAGCCACGACCATCTACCTTAGATATGGCTGTATTGGTTCAGTTGGCAATGTGTGCAGTAATAGATAGCTCAGCTGGATGTAATTAGAGAAAATACATAGTATCAGTCTAATCTTTATAATATGTATTTACAAGTCAATAATTCATATTGGAAACAAAATGTTGGCAGTGCTGGGGTGCTGTATAATAATATAATATAATATGTTCTTTAATGAGACATTGGACAAATGCATTAGCAAAACTGGATTATGCTTATCAACCCTACGTATAAATGGTGTTTGTAAGAACAAATTCCCAATAGATTCCTTTATGTCCGTCTCCACAACACAGATCCATGCTGTGTAAAGTAATAAAAGTCAGTTCTTTGTGTTATGCTATGGTGAAACAGATACTCTTTTATCTATTATGTTACATCATTAGCTGTAAGTAACACGAGTTACATCATCTATGGCTAAATTAGCTTTCTCAAACATTCTCAATACATTCCAGAGAGTGTCCATAAAACTATTTCAGAGAGTGTCCATAAGACTATTTGTTATCTTCCGTGCAATTAAAATCTTTTCTTTTAAGCCGCATTCTATTTGGCTGTCCAGTTCTTATTTTTATGGTAATGCATTTTAAAATTCATTAACTTCCTTCTAAAGTTCCTGTGTATAAATATAGTTCAACTAAATGTGTTCCAGGGTTCATCAAAAAACAACTTTCTCTTGAGCATTGTAAATGTGCCACCAGTCCTGAGCGATATATGTTGTATAGTAGAAATGTATGAAGGCATCTCACCTATACAAACAAAATCCATCTTCATATGTATCTCGTAGTTCCCTTATTATACTTTGTTGTGTGCATTGGATTTGCCAGTTAGACAAGTTGGTGAATTTATGAACAGAGGTTGGAGTAGACTTGGTACTCAGGGCTTTGGATCTGTACAGTTAGCGCTTCTTCTATTCTAAGGATATGAATTAAACGCAGTTTGAGACTGCTAGTGGTACGGATTACTGAAACAACTGGTAGGCTAACGGCCAACTGGGTAAGATTTGGTTTAAAGAATGGGAAACACAAGGGAGAACCTGGAGGGGAAAATAGTTGGTTAGATTGTCCAGGTTCTTTACAGAACTAGCTTTTTAAGACAGACAATAATTATGTGTCAAGGAATTTTAGGATCATAATCTTAAAACTTCAATCAAGTTAGGCTGGATGTTCCAACGGAATTTATATAATTAATTGAAATTAATTCAAAGTAAATTTTAAATGTAAGGTCAAAATAGCTGAACTGGAAATATAGTCGGCTTAGAGTATGTTTCCAGTTTGGCTATGTTGGCCTTAAATTTGCAAATAACTTTGAATTCTCACTTTAGTAAAATAAAGTAAAAGAAGGGTGTAATTTAGCTGCAAGGTCAATGAATGACAGGTCAATAACATGATAAAGAACTAAGCAATGTTGGACAGGAGCATGGCAATGTTGAAGCCTTAAAGGGACACTATTGGCAGCTAGACCACTTCATCTCATTGAAGTGGTCTGGGTGCACTGTCCATGTCTCTTTAAGGCTGCAATCTAAAAGATTGCAGTTTCAGAGAAACTGCAAAGTTTATAGGGGAGGGTTGCCTCCAGTGTCTTCCAGACAGCCACTTAAGCCACTTCCTGCTATTTCACAGAGTCTGACTCCGTAAAACGACGCTGAACATCCTTACGCTGTACATGAGGAAGTCCAGCATCTTCAAATTGATTTAATGCTTTCCAATGGGGAAGGCCTAATGGGTGCACAGTGTTCACAGAGCATGCGCATTAGGTTTCCCCTCGGTGCAGATGTCAGAAGAGACATGAGGCAAAGCCAATGCCAAGGACCTCCAATCAGGTAAGTTTTTAAAGGACCTGGCAGCACTGGCTCAGCACATGCCAGTAGCTTAGATGTGGTGTACCACGAACACAGAAATGTCTTGGAAGGACTGAATGATAACATGCAATCAGGCTGCATGTCTGATGGTTTGCAAAACTAATAGTTGGGCCTCTCCTGATTTATGGATTGGCGCCACTCTGCACTGATGCAGAAATTAAAGGGGTACTATAGTCACCAAAACAACTTAGCTTAATGAAGAAGTTTTGCTGTATACATCATGACCCTACAGTCTGACTGCTCACTTATCTGCCATTTAGAAGTTAAATCACTTTGTTTATGCAGCCCTAGTCACACCTCCCTGCATGAGACTTACAAAGCATTCCCAAACACTAACTAAACACTTCCTGTAAAGAGTCATGTAATGTTTACACTTCCTTTATTGCAAAATCTATTTAATTTAGAATGTCTTATCTCCTGCCCTGTTATCATCTTGCTAGACCCTGTAGGAGCCTTCTGTATGTAATTAGAGTTCAATTTACAGAGCAGGAGATGGACACTTTTAAAGTAAATTACATCTGATTTAAAGTGAAACCATTTTGTTTTTATACAGGCTGTGTCAGTCACAGGCAGGGGAGGTATGGCTAATTCTGCATAAACAAAAACAAAATAGATTTCACTCCTAAATGGCAGAGAATGAAGCAGTGAAACTTTAGAGACATGATCTATACACCAAAACTGCTCCATTAAGCTAAAGTTGTTTGGTGACTATAGTGTCCCTTTAATTTGTGTTAAATCCGTTTTTATTAAGACCAACATAAGGAGCAGTTTACCCACACAGGGGCTGTAAGGCATTCTTGACAAGTGACATAGAATACAGGGTCGGTATATCGGCTGCATTTTGGCATTTGCCTTCGCAGAGGCTGATTGTGCGTGATCTCTGAAATTATTGAGATCGGCATATTTAAAGGGGAGTGTTCATATTACTGGTACTTATTTCACAGATCACTTATAGCTCTTTTTTCGTCATATTCATATCGGAAATTAGGCTCGTTGTCAATGTCGTAGGTCAGGGTGTGTGTCAGTGTTTCCGTGAGGCGTAGAGTGGTGTAGCTGTCCGTTGCTGTTGTGTGGTGTTTCCGGCAGGTGATTTGGTTTATGTGGCGTGAGCGTTTGTCTTGTCTCAGGGTTTACTGGGTGTTGCCTGTGGATCATCCTCTGTCTTATGGAGAGAAAAAAAAAACACCGAAGGGCAGGCTAATTGAGCTGTTGTCTGTTCTCACCTCTCTTGCTACCCTTTTTCCTCTCCTTAAGTGTAAAGGGCAATCCAGACATGGAGCCCTTGCTCACGGTGCCTAGAGGGATATTGGCTATACCTCACTCATACCTTACAAGGTTGAAACGATCATCTGGGGTTGCCGTATCTCTTGTGCAGAGGGAACTTGCTGGCATTTTGGATCTGGACTGCCCGTATGGATAGGAACAGTCTGATATGCTTCAGAGATGTTCTCTCTGTAATGGCACAAGTTCAGCTAAAACCAGCTTGAGATCTGAGCGGGGACCCACCAAAGGGCAAACTAATTGAGCTGTTTTTTGTTCTCACCTCTCTTGCTACCTTTTTTTCTCTCCTCTGTCTTATGTTAGCGTGTGAGGCGTGGTGTGGGGTTAAGTCTATGGGGTTGTGTCCCTTTAATTTGGACAGGTTATTCTGTGGCTGTGTAGTCCGCCAGCTCATTTTATGTATGTTGATTACTTTGTGTAACATTTCCATAAATACTGACTGTCATTTTTATTTTGTAATTGACTATTTTACAACATTAGGTTTGAAAACATCCTCTTTATTGTTCCTTGGAAAACACCACATTGACGAGTTGCTAGACTCAGACGCAGCAGAATGTCTGTGCCCCGACAAGCCTTCCTTATCTAGGAGTATAACAAAATTTCCTATCTGCAATTAGAGTATTTTCTCACAAAATCATTATTACTTAAAGCGGCACTGTCATGCCGAACTTACCTTTCCTCAATCTCTTCCTCTTCTCCCCCTCTCTCGGGATCTGTTATTCTTTTCTTCCTGTCTTCTTTAGTTTTATTTAAAATCATAAGACAAAGTAGGGACTCTTTGCCTTATGGAGGATTCCTCCGCTTGACCAGCTCTGACCAGCGGATGAGCAAAGTGTGCTTCATTTCCGCTGGTCAGAGCAATTTTCCCATGATCCCTAGCTTTCCTCTGTGATCTCGCGATGCTTCCTGTCATTTTAGCTAAAACTGCCGAATTGCGTTCTAACTGAATAAGAACATTCTAATGATTGAAACTCCGATCCTATTCATGCTGTGGCTGCATCTTGCAGCCGTTTAGTAGATAACTCCCTAATTCCCACGGTATCAGGGAGTTATCTACTAAAAGGCTGAAAGACCTAAATTGGTCTTTCAGACAAATTTACTAATACTAAGTAAAGATTACTTAATATTAGTAAATAATATGCCCCTACTCGCTATATAGCGAGTA